CTCTGGGGAGACCTAGACGTAGATGGGAGGATAATGTCCGGCGGGATCTATGGGAGATAGGAGTTGAAGGAAACTGGATTTTGTTGGCCCAGGACAGGGTCCGGTGGAGGGCTTTGGTTAATTCGGTGATGAACCTTCGGGCTCGGTAAGTCATCTAGTTAGTTAGTTAGTTAGTCGTGATCGACTTAAGTACTTAAGGGAGTAAGTAGTTTCATGCTTCTGAATGCTGTTAGGTGTGACGGACAGACTGACAAAACTTCCTTATAGACGAGTCTTGTTGTGATGACGTTTATTATGGTTTTCTTCAGTACGAATCACAAATATGAAATTTCGTCAGATGTTAATACGATTTACAGTCTCCCTATAAGACGCTCTGTTGTTCAGGGTTATCTTATAGTTTCATCACGAAGCATTAGTTCACATGTTCACCGTGGGAGGCGTTCTCCACCCGCAGTTTCTCTCAGTCCGACCAGGTGCAAGACAAATACTTCGTATTTCGTCTTCACATTTCATTCGTCGTTAAATAACCTAGACAGTTCACAAGAAACAATGACGTAAGAGTCTTCCTTCAATTTTATATAGGATTATCTTTCCTTTATCCTAAAATAATTTAACTCAGTTCACGTTTTCGCAACTTATTTTTTCTAACTTTCATTCAGATATTATCATACAGTCAGTGTTTCCAAATCCGAAGTAATCTGTCAACTAGAAGTTAGTAAAAAGTCCATAGGAAATAGTTTCCCTAATCATAAACTGTCATGGCCTTCTTGATTCAACCACAGTAACAGAAAAAATAGGTCTACGAACAAGGAGAACATTTTAAAATTGGCGAAGGCTTGTTAATATCCAAGTACTAATATTTTATGCTATAAGTCGTCTGTTAGTGCTGCGAGGACAGAATGTTTCAAGTTACTTCAAAGTATAAATGTAGGTCTTTGGCAATAAATACGTAGGCCTTAATCGTATCATTTTCAGTTTTTAGCCTACGTGATGGAGTATGTGGTTAAGCTTATTAAAACACGACTAGCGCCATCTTCCTAACTTCGTCTCTGCCGTCAGAATAAAATTTCTAAAACCATTTTCCATCACATTCAACATGCCTAGCCTATCCTAGAAAAGTTAGCATCCCATCGCACTAGAGCGCCGATGTTAGGATACATGCACTAGAGTGCAATTGTTGGACTGCGGGCACTAGAGTGCCGATTAAATTCTATGCACTAGAGTGCAATTGTTGGACTGCGGGCACTAGAGTGCCGATTAAATTCTATGCACTAGAGTGCAATTGTTGGACTGCGGGCACTAGAGTGCCGATTAAATTCTATGCACTAGAGTGCAATTGTTGGACTGCGGGCACTAGAGTGCCGATTAAATTCTATGCACTAGAGTGCAATTGTTGGACTGCGGGCACTAGAGTGCCATTGTTTGGATGAGTTCAGTACAGTGAAGTAATGAATAATTCGTCTTCGAGTGCTCGCCGACAAAGTGTTGTGCCGTGATTTTCGCGTGTGCGCATTGTTGCAACGACTCTCTGAGTACTTGTGAGTCAGTGTTGTGTCAGTGCCTTGGATTTCGTCAACGGCTGCAGCAGACTTCGAACCATGGACCAAGGCGGACGGAGCAACGCGCAAAGAGTAAAGTTAAGAAGACATAAACCAGTGTCGGCCGAACCCCTAGTGGTTGAGGACCCATCCGCTGGAGGATGGGCTGGGTGCTCGCGGCAAATCTTGTACGCCATAGCAT